ATGTCCAGTGGGTTCTGTTACTATGCCCCTTTACAGATGAGGCTCTGACTGTGGCTCTCCCAAGCCACTCGCAGTTAAGGGATAGAAAAGAGATTCCAACACAGGAGGGCCTGACCCCAAGCTGTGATCTGAGCCACGAAGCTACCCCCGCCCCCTCCTGAGCCCCGACCCTCATCGGCTGAAATTCCCACGGTCGCCAATGTCTAGAACCAGGGGTCTGTCCAGGAAACCGCAGGATGCAGAGAGGATGAAAACACACATCACTCAGACTGACCACGTGGAGCACGGAGGCAGGAAGAGGAAGGGCAGTGCCCCACGGGTGGGCCGGGGACAAGGGTGGGAAAGCCAGGGCTTCCAAGAGGAGACAAGACTCTGCGGTTAGCAGAGATCCGGGAGCCGCAGCCCTTACCTCTTGGGCAGAAGCAGCGAAGCTAATACATTCAGGCCACCAACCCGGTTCAGTAGAGAACCTGGAGAGAGAGGAGAAGGAAGTCAGCATGCTGGGGAATTTGAGAAGCGTCACCACCTCGAGCAGGAGGGGGCCCTCCTGGGGCAGAGGGACCCTGCTCTTGTCACACCATCAGGAGTCACAAGTCAGTGACTGTAGACTCAGGTCCTGACAGCCACTGGCTACCTGCATTTCCAGGTTTTGAGCCTCAGAGTCCCCCTCTCATGAATGGGCATTCTGATGCCTTCCCTTGTTGATTATCTGTTTTTCCCATCAGACTGGAGCCTCCTTAATGGGCAAGGACTGTGTCTTACACCTTCAGCCCTTGACAGAGGGCCTGGCAAACGTGGGATACTCAGGAAGGACATGATGGATGATTTCAGTGAATGGATGGATGGCGGAAGGGAGTAACTAATTGACCAACTATGTGTCTCAAAGGACTGTGGGCAGTTTCCCTGGTGGCTCAGTGGTACAGAGTCCACCCCCTAGTGCAGGAAGCATGGGTTCCTTTCCTGGTCCAGGAAGATCCCACCTGCTGTGGGGCAACTAAGCCCGTGTGCCACAACTATTAAGCCTGTGAACTGCAACTACCGAGGCCCTTGCAACCTAGAGCCTGTGTCCTACAAGAGAAGCCACTGAAATGGGAAGCCTGAGCCCCACAACTGGAGAGAAATCCTTGTTCACCGAAACTAAAGAAAAGCCCGAGTAGCAACAAAGACCCAGTGCAGCCAAAAATAAATAGCAAATAAATATTAAAAAAAAACAACCACAACTGCAGGGAGGGACAAAGGAGGAATGTGAAAGGGTGTGAAATGAGGAATGTGAAAGGAATGTGAAAGGTGCCTGTGTGCTGTGGGGAGATGAAAATAAAACCCACAATGATGCTTCTGACTGGTATATTTGTTCATTCATTTATTCATGTGGCTAATCAGCAGATGGGCTTCCCAGATAGCTCAGTGGTAAAGAATCCACCTGTCAAGCAGGAGACCCGGACACAATCCCTGGGTTGGGAAGATCCCCTAGAGAAGGAAATGGCAACCCACACCAGTATTCTTGCCTGGGAAAAAAAATCCAATGGACAGAGGAGGCTGGCAGGGTACAGTCCATGAGGTTGCAAAGAGTCGGACACGACTGAGCAACTAAACAACAAACAACAATCAGCAGATACGGAGGCTCGTCTGAGCTAGGCTCTGGATCAAGTGTGGGAGATGCGGAGATGGATCAAACCAGGTCTCTGCCCTGTTTACTCAGGGAGACCAAATGAATAGCTGATGCCAGAGACTGAAGTAAGTCAGGAAGAGAAAAATAAACATCGTATATTAACACACATACGTGGAATCTAGAAAAATAGTGCAGATGAACCTATCTTCAGGGTAGGAACAGAGACGCAGACATAGGGAACGAATACAGACATAGGGACATGGAGAGGGGTGGGAGGGTGGGGTGAACTGGGAGACTTGGACTGACGTGTGTACACTGCTATGGAAAAACAACCAGTGGGAAGCTGCTGTATAGAGCGGGGAGTTCAGCTCAGGACTCTGTGATGACCTAGATGGGTGGGATGGTGGGGGAGGTCCAAGAGGGAGGGGATGTATGTATGTATATAGCTGATTCACTTTGCTGTGGAGCAGAAACTAACACAACAATTGTAAAGCAATAACTGTTGTTTAGTAGCTCAGTGTCCAACTCCTTGCGAACCTATGGACTGTAACCCACCAGGCTCCTCTATCCATGGGATTTCTCAGGCAAGAGTACTGTAGGTGGTTGCCATTTCCTCCTCCAGGGGATCTTCCCGACCCAGGGATGGAACTCGAATCTCCTGTGTCTCCTGCATTGGCAGGCAAGTTCTTTACCACTGAGCCATCAGGGAAGCCAAAGCAATTATACCCCAATTTAAGGGGGAAAAAAAAAAAGCCAATGCCCACACACTGGTGTAAGCAGAGGTTGCAGGGAGGAATCCTAGTGGAGGTCAGGGAAGACTCAGGGGGGATGTGGCCTCCGAGCCAAGCCTGGCAACAAACCCACTTTAGCCAGGTGGAGGGGCCGGGTGGGAGGAAAGAGAATGTCAGGCCTTCAGTCCCCCAGGCTTCAGTGAGAGAGATGGGAAAGATGACTGGGGCTGCAGCCGGCAGGACCCAGTCCACACAGCTGGAGGGAGGGACATGATGCTGTCTGTCTTCAGGGAAATCCCACTGCCTGCTGCCTAAGAGACAGGAAGATAGAAGAAACGGGGAGACCCTCTCCAAGGAGTGCTGGCTGAGCCTCTCTGCAGCCCTGCAGGAAGGCAAAGTGACGGCTGATGTCAACCCCACTTTACAGATGGGGCAGGCGAGGCTGTGAGCAGACAACTTTCCCAGGATCCCGCAGAGCTGAGTGAGGGGCAGAGCTGGTTATAAAGGTCATGCCTGCATGCCTTCTACTGAAACCCAGGTTTCCTGCCTTCTGGGAAAGTGGTCTTCTTGAAAAAGCTGCTTGAACCTGCACAAAGACCACCCTCGTTGCGGGTGGTCAGAGAAGGGGTGGGGACTGTAGGACAGGGGGAAGGAGACAGGGTTTCAGGGAGACCTTCCTCCCAGGTGGGTCCCCGTGAGTGGACAGTGGGCAACTTCAGAAGTTGGGGCTCAGAGAGGGAGAGCTCTGGGTAGGGGGTTCACAGAGCCAGGAGGCCCACATCCACCTAACACCTGTGTGTCTCCAGAGGGGGAGCTTCAGGGGGACGGGAAAGATGGCCATGGGCCTGGATGTCTGGCAGGCTACGTGGCTATCTCATGGCAAGTCTGCCGGTACAGATGGGGAAACTGAGGCCCGGGACCAGTCAAGGACACAAGGGATTGGTGAAGGCAGGACTGGAGTTCAGAAGGTGAAAACGATGAACTGAGATAGATGGATAGATAGAAGGGAAAGAGTTGGGGAGACCCAGACACACAGAGGTGAGGAGTGGAAGGAGACACAAGCAGAGAGGCCAGAAAAAAGCCCAGATGGGAATGAATAAAGGGGTGTCAAAGGAACAAGGGGTCTGACCAACTCCTCCCCCTCCCCCTCTCTCCATCTGGGCCCCCATCTTTCGGGGCAGAGGGGACCAGGACCCTCCATCCCTGTGGGGAGGGAGGGGCTAGGGTTTCTCCCCCTACTCAGGGGCTGCTCCCCACCCCACCCCCGCCCCCAGAGCTAATCAGCGGCTGTCATCTCCACCGTGAGGTCTTGGTTAAGGAGATTTAGGGCTGGGATCAATAGGAAATTTAAAAATCGATGCAGCGCGCAGGGCAAAATCGATGGCGTTTAATCGCCTTGCCGATTCCCAGTCAAAACAATTAGCCGCGCTGAGTGTTGAACACGGTGGCGACACGGCATTAACCGTCAATATTGGTGTAAGTGATGGCGGGGCGGGCGGGGGAATCCCCGGGCCTCTCAGAGGCCCAGAGTCAGACGGCGCCTTCGGGCTGGGGTCTCCCCTCAAGGCAGCACCTCTAGTTAGGATTTCCCTCCAGCAGTGCCCCCCTCCCCACCCCAGCCTGTCTGCCTCAATTCTCCTCCTGTGGCATCTCCCTGGGCCCCGTGCCCCCATCCCCTGCCTGACAGGCCCCTCTCCCAGGTAAACAGCCTCTCCCCTCAGGAGAGGCAGGCAGCCCTGTGGGAATTGCAGCCATATTCCCAGCAGGGCCTTGAGCCTGGAAGATAGGAATGGGAGCTGTGTAGAAGATGCCTTCTCCCCATTTCACAGACGGGAACTTTGAGGAGCAGAGGGGAAAAGCAGGTGGCCTGTAGTGGCCTGGCAGAGAACGCCAAGGAGCCAGGACTAGGACCGTGACTTCTCTGATTCCTTGACTTGACTGTTCCTTGTAGCTGCACCGCAGACAAGGGGAAGGAAGTGTCTGATGTTCACAGGAGAAGGAAAGGAAGTCCTGGCCCCTCAGCTCTCCTTGAAGCCAGGACGACTCTCCTGCAGGCAGGCTGGGGTCTGGCTTCTCTGGGGGTCCCCAACACTGCCCAGGCCAGAGTATGACCTGAGCTTAGACAAGTGAGGATGACAGTGCCCACTGGCCTCACAGAAGACTGTCCACAAACATTTTCGCTGAGGAACATGCGGTAGAACCACTGTCCCCTACGAACACATCAGCTCGGATTAGTCCAGCGGAGCGGCCCTGAGTGAGAGCAACCGGGATTTCCTGGGTGCTAGCTACGTGTCAGGTGTGGTTAGCTGCTCTGCGGGTGTGATCTTGCAGTCTCAACCATTTGGTGAGTATCATTCTCACGATACAGATGAGGAAATGGAAACTCAGAGAGGTGAAGCCACTTGCCCGGGGTCACACAGCCAAGAGCGGGGTTGGATAGCTCAGTCTGACCAGACTCTGAGGGGTGAAGGACACAGGGCAAGCAAGATCCAATGACTGCAAGCAAGAGGGTGCATACAAGTAGGGCGTACAGAAACCCAGCGCCTGGATGGGGACCAGGAGAGGCTCTGCACAGGCCCAGGAGGCAGGGGTGGGGCGGGCAGGGCAGAGGCAGACCTGGAGACACACTGGGAGCTCCTGACCTGGCAGGACAAGGATACAACACCGGGAGGCCAGCGCTGGCTCTCACCTTCTTTGAACTTGCCTGAGGGCTCCGGGTTCTGAGGTGCCACGTCGGGGCAGGGGGAGCCTTCCGCAGCCACCGGCTCCCAGCACGGCAGCAGGGCGGGGGTGTGGGCCGGTGAGGAGGCCCGTGAGATGAGCCAGGGATTGATCTGACAAGGTCCTAATCAAATGGTCAATATCGCTGACCTGACCACTTAACCTATCGATAAGCTGGCAAGGATGGAGCAGGCGGCGAGTGGGCTCGGGGAGGAAGGCAGGGAGAGGGCTGGGGGAGGCCGGATGGGCAGTGGGCCGGGTCTGGGGGCCTAAGAGAGGGAGGTCTCCTGCTCAGGGGCCCCCACCCGCCACCCCTCTGATAAGCCATGTGTCTTCTCTGTGGGGGCTTCTTTTAAAAAAAACAACAATAATTTATTTACCCTTGACTGTGCTGGGTCTTCACTGTGGCATGCAGGCTTAGCCGCTCTGTGGCATGTGGGATCTTAGTTCCCCAACCAGGGATCGAACCCACGTCCCCCACATTGGAAGGTGTATTCCTAACCACTGGCAGCTGGACCACAGGGAAGTCCCGTATGTGGGGGCCTCTCCTCTGGTCAGGGCTCCTCAGGCTCGTGAGGCTGGGAACCGTCCCCAGCCCCCCAGGCCACCCCCAGGTCCCCTGGGCTTGTACCTTAGCTTCTCACACATGGGAGGGACTTCTCCTCTGAGTCTCAATGTCCTGTTCTGCAAACTGGTGATAATTATAATAGGAAATGCCAGGAGACAACCTAGATATCTGACGACTGGGGACTGGGACAATACGTGATGGTGTAACAGCCTGATAAAGGAGGGCTGCAGAGTTGTAGAAAATATGCTTGAAATAAATTCATTGACAAGGGAGCGACATTCATAATCCATTGTTAGAAAGGAATAAAAGACAGATTACAAACTGGTATGTAGGTGACGGTTTCATTTTTATGAAATACACACACACACACTTTTTCTACCCTAAAGAAAAAGGTTTAGAGCAGAAGGCAGAATTCTTTTTTTTTTTGGCTGCCCCACACAGCTTGCAGGACCTTAGTTCCCCAACTAGGGATCAAACCTGGGTTCTATTCCTGGACCCCAGCAGTGAAAGCACAGAGTCCTAACAACTGGACTGCCAGGGGATTCCCAGAAGTCAAAATTCTGAATTTGGTTCCAGGTTTCTGAATCTTAATATATTCTTTGGGTGAAATTGTGCTCATGCTTGGTCATATCTGACTCTTTGAGACCCATATGGACTGTAGCCCACCAGGCTCCTCTGTCCATGAGGATTCTCCAGGCAAGAATACTGCAGTGGGTAGCCACTCCCTTCTCCAGGGGATCTTCCTAACCCAGGAATCGAACCTGAGGCTCCTGTGTCTCCTGCATTGCAGGCAGATTCTTCAGGGCTGGGCCATCTTTGGGTAAACTCGTAGACATACTCCCGTTTGAGAAAAAGCTATCTAGAAAGATAGGCATCAAAAAACTTTTTTTTTCTCATGTAACTAGATGATCGTGATGGGGTTTCTTTCATCTCTTTGAGTATCTGCATTTTCTACTTTTTCACAGTGAACATGCGTCACATGAGTTGACTTTTGCTTACAACTGCAAAAGGTGGGGCTAACGAGTCCTGCATTGGCGGGACTGTGGCGAGGTTCTCAGCAAACACACAATGGGTGATGTTTCTCTGAGCCCCTTCCCTCTCCCAGCCAGGCTTGGCTGGTTGGCTTATGTCCCAGCATAAGCTCCCCCTGTGTCCAAGCCCAGCCAAGCCCAGAGCCCCTCAGAACGTGAATGAATCTGAAATCTGCCCAGTACAGAAATACTTGCTCCAGCGTTTGGTAGGACCAAGCCAAATTCCATGCCCTGTCCCTGCTTCAGGAATCTGACTGAGGGATCACAGGCAGGGGGGACAGTTGGAGGGGAAGCCAAGGTCCAGAGGGAGGGAACAGATTTTCAAATCATCACACAGCTGCTTGTGACGGAGCTAGGACCAAAGCTGGCTCCTGGGTCGCACTATCCCACCTCTGAGATGAGAAAAACCTGCAAGATTAAATGTGCATGCAGGCCAAGGACTAGTGCAAGGGTATGCAATTCTACAGAGCAGAAGAGCATAGTGGTCCAAAACCTGTGTGACCTTGTGCAAGTCACTTCACCTCTCTGAGCCTCAGTTGGAAAGGGAAAGTGAAAGTTGCTCAGTCGTGTCCGACTCTTTGTGACCCCATGGACTATATAGTCCATGGAATCCTCCAGGCCAGAATACTGGAGTTGGGTAGCCTTTCCCTTCTCCAGGGGATCTTCCCAACCCAGGGATCGAACCCAGGTCTCCCACATTACAGGCGGATTCTTCACCAGCTGAGCCACAAGGGAAGCCCAAGAATACTGGAGTGGGTAGCTGATCCCTTCTCCAGTGGATCTTTCTGACCCAGGAATCGAACCGGGGTCTCCTGCACTGCAGGTGGGTTCATTACCAACTGAGCTATCGGGGAAGCCTCAGTTTACTCAAACACAAAATGAGAATAATAATAACCCCTGCCTCACAAAGCCAGTGAGAGAAGTCAACAAGACCATGCTAATAATGAACTTAGGAGAGAGCTGACAGAGAAAGGGGTAAGTGAATGGTGGAAATGATACTACGATTATCAGCCACAAGTGATGTGTATGAGTAGAATGTGCAGGGTGAGGGCAGGAATGCAGTGGGAAGCGGGAAGAAGGAAGGTGTGTCCTGGTACTCTGACTTGGGGTGAACAAATGCAGTGAAGACACCTGGCTCAGTATGTTCCTCTGGTGACTTCCCTGGTGGTCCAGTGGCTAACACTCTTTGCTTCCACTGCAGGGGGCACGAGTTCAATCCCCTATGGGGGAACTGAGATTCCCACATACCGACTGGCGTGGCCAAAAAAGATATTCCTTTGTTCATTCATTCATTCATTCAGTCAACATTTCCTGAGGCCAGTTCTAGGTTAGACCCTGTGCCAAGCCTTGCAACCTGGATGTGAACAATGGAAGTTCCCACTGACTGAGATAGTGAAGAGGAATTGGGGGTGGCCCGGCTGCTCTCTCATCTGTGAGAGCTGCTTCCTCAGAGGCCTCCAAACTGTCCCTCGAGGCTTCGGCTGAAAGGGGCCGCGCAGGAGTGTGAGCCCAGGGTGTAGCTCAGGGATGTGTGCTCACACACAGAAGGGCAGCAAGCTCTGTGCACACGCCTGTGTCCACCTCTGTGTTTCACAGTCGCATGCACCAAGCCTGACACTCTGGGGACAAGCCGGGCTCCATTTTTTTTCCTCTGTTTTTTTTTTTTTAAATGAAAAAAGAAATGTTCAAAGCGCCAAGCACAATGCCAAACACCTGGCAGGGTCCTCAATAAATAGCAGCTATTATTAGCATCATCATCACACACCAGATCACTCTTGATCCCCACAAAAACCTTATTTTGCCGACGAGGAAAGTTGAGATTTAAAAGGAATGATGTGATTTGCCCACGGTCATGGTTGGGAGTCAAAGCGGGGTGTGTGCGACCCCACAGTCTGGGGTCTGCTTTTCCTGTGGTGGCGGGGTTGTGGGGAGGAGTCAGGGCCTGGGAGTGGGGGAAGAGAAACAGTAGGGGGGAAAGCAGAGGTGATGATGTCAGGGCGGGGCGGGGTGGCAAGGATGCACTGGCTAGGGTGAGGAGAGCACTGTCAGGAAGATGGAGTGGAGTGGATAGGCCCCGGATGAGGAGCCTGGAGTCCGGCTGCATCGAGGCTCAGGCAGGAGGTGGCCTGGCTTGCTGATGCCCCTACACTGGTAGGTGTGCCCCCTCTCTCTCTGCCAGAAGGTGAGATCCCTCCACCCTTGCTCAGCACCTCCAACATCCAGCTCCACCATTATGCTGGGCAATAGGATGACAAGGGCCCAGCTCCTATTCACCTGACAAACATCCTCTGAGCACCTACAGTGTGCTGAGCATCGTTCCAGGTGGGGGGCGGGGCGGGGGATACACCTGCAAACAAGACAAAGTCCCCACCCTCACAATGTTGACCTTTTAGTGGAGAAAGGGACACAATAGATGAGAATACATACTTCGGAGCTAAGAAAGACAATAAAGCAGGTGAAGAAGTGGGTTACAAGATGATATCATTTTAGACTGCAAAGTCAGGAAAGACCAGTCGGGGAAGGTGGGTTTTGAGTAGCAGAAGCCTGAATGAAGTGTTGGAGGCAAGAGCTTTCCTGGCAAAAGAAACAGCAGGGGCAAAGGCCCCAAGGTAGGAACAAGGTCGATGTGTTTGAGGAAGGCCAGCGTGGCCTGAGCCTCTGGAGGCAGGAGGAAAGGAGTAGAAACTGAACAAGCATGTGGGTTCCTGTTCCTGCAGGGCTTCCGGGCTAAAGAGGATGCTCTAAGTGTGAAGGGGGAATGACAGGCTTTCCCTCACTGTGGCAGATTCTATGGAGCAGAAGATAATGGTGGTCAAAACACTGTGGGTAAGTCACTTGGCCTCTCTGAAAGTTGGTCTCACCTTCAAAAACCAAGCTCCATCCTCATCGCTTCCCTGTAAACCATGTGTGACCCATTCATTCTCTAAGAACAAGTTCCAGATGCCTTCAGTGAACCCCTAGTCCTGGACAAGGCCTTCAAGGGTTGAACTCTGCTACCTGGGGACTCCTCTGGGTCACAGGAGCTGCTGCTGCTGCTGCTAAGTCGCTTCAGTCGTGTCCGACTCTGTGCCACTCCACAGACGGCAGCCTACCAGGCTCCTCCGTCCCTGGGATTCTCCAGGCAAGAACACTGGAGTGGGTGAGTCACGGGAGGGACTGGCTCATCCACGCCCCTTGGCATCCAGCTCAGGCCCAGCCATAGGAGGCCTCAGAAAACAGCAGGGTGTCAATGGTTACTAAGAGGAACTGTAACCCCTGACTTCTACCCCTCAGCAAATCTCCCTGTGGGAGCAAGTTGTAGCTTGTTCAACTCTGTCCAGTGGGAGAGAGAAGCGGCTGGAGCAAGGGGAAGGCAGACATGGCAGCCCCCTCCTGCGGCCAGGTCTTGTCCCGGGTTCCCAGCATGGACCAGCAGGGCAGGAGTTCACTCCCTCCAGGGCCTCCCCGTCCTCCTCCCATCCCTCCTCCACAGCAGACTCTGAGATCCCTGACTTAGTACCCAGCTCACATCCTGTCAAGTCCCTC